GGAGAAATGAGTTAAGCGGAGCATAGGAATATTTAGAGAAGTTAAACTATTCTGTTATGATACTATAATGGTAGATAGATGACATGCATTTGACAAAACCCATAAAAGAATTGTACAACACAGAGAGTTAATTGTAATGTGAACTATGGATCTTAGTTAATAATAATGTATCAATATTGGTTCATCAGTTGTAATAAATGTACCAGATTAATGCAAGATATTAATAATAAATGAAACTGGGGGCTTAGGGGAAGGAGGTATATGGAAACTTTCTGTACTTTCTGCTTGATTTTTATATAATCCTAAAACTAATCTAAAAATAAAGTTTCTTCAATTAAAAAAAAATAACTGGCAATATTTAGGGAAAAAAAATCATGTTGGGGAAAAGCCAATGTAAAACCCATGCAACTTCATAAGAACAATACAAAAATATTTACAAACCTATTAAAAATACTAGCACAGTTAAAAATACAAGTTAAAAATATACATTACAATATATCTAGAACTTCACAAAAATGTTTTAGTTAATAAAAAAGGATGAAAAATTATAAGGAAAGGTTGAATTATGGAAACAAGGGCAAATACATAAAGGTCAGGAGCTACTCAATATGCATTTTCAAGACAGAGCATACAGCCAAATTGAGCCAAGAAGAAGGAGGGGTGAATAGGTATTGTATACAGGACTGCTTTCCCCCACAGCTTACTGCATTCAGCTTTTGTAAGTAGACTTAGAGTTAAGCCGCTTTTACTTGTAGTCAAAACACTACTGTATTGGGGGAAATTGTGTATAAGCCAATTGATTTTCACATTCTATTGACATCCCTATTTGCCAGTTACAATATTAACAGATGATTCACAGTACAGAAGCATACACTGTAGCAGAATAAACTGATTCTGTTTCTCTGTTTCTTTAACACAGCAAAATAACTTAAACCAATTAAATGTTATACTGTGGTTAAGGCTCCTACACTCATGGAGATTGTGCCCAAGGTACCCTAACACACTCATTAGACTCAACAGTAAATATAGTAAAGGACTAGAAGTACACTTTAAATGAAACAATTTAAGGCTTATGGGCAGTAAAATTAAAAACAAATTGAACTTCATTTAAATAGTTCACTCTGAACTGACACATTTAGTACATTTTTCTTTGCAGAAAAGTTTACCAGCAAAACATAACATCTCATTTTCAATGGGACTCATCAAATAGACTAGCATTAGATCATTATCAATGAAGTGTCATCATGCTCAATTCACTTATGAGCCCACTTACTTAGGTAATTTCTTCACTGTTGACAAAAATCCCACATTCATTTTCTAATCAAACTTAATCATCTTATTACAGTACTCTCTAATCCTATTTCAGCATCTTCACCATTGGCTACTCTCTAGAGATCACATGATAAAATGACGTAAAGGAGGAACTCCAAGGAAAGAAAACAGAAAACTAATAGGGTGGTAAAAAAAAAAAAAATACAAGGCTTTAAGAAAGTCAATACTTAGTTGCAAAACTGAGAATGCGACAATGGATCATTCATGTATAGCATAAATTTTTAAACTGCTCCTTGGATTACCTTGGGATTATAAAAATGGACTTCTAAGGGTCCATGAATGCCCTAAGTTTTGAGTGAAATTATCTGTATATCTGTTTTTTTAGGGAGAGAGCATATATTTCTTATTAAAATTTCAAAATCATACTTAATCCTCCAAAAAGATTAAAACCACTTATGTAGGGAAAAAAAAAAGGCATGAGTACCTAAAAATGACACTCAAAATAGGAATGCAGTTTTAAAAAACAAACAGGTGACTTTTAAACATAGCTAATTATTTAACAACATCTAAAGCTAAATAAGCATTGGATCAATTTTTTAATGTTATAACAAAAGTAATTTAAACTTGTCTTAAAATATTTTTTAGTTTGAAAGTTGTAACATCCAATATTTGAGTATATACCAACATTTCAAATGAAAAAGCTGAACTATTTGAAAACATTTTAGCTCAGAAATAATAAACTTATGCCAGACATGATGTAGATTTTCATGAAAAGCTGAAGGTAACATGTTAGCCTAATAAATTCAAGAGACAATCCCACTATAGAAAACTTGAGAGCAAGAAGTCGATCAGAACCAGGGTGGCAAGAATTCATAGCAAGCAAAATTCTCCTCTGAAAAGAATTCTAAGCTAGCTTGTTGGAGGAAATTCTCACTTCCAGGTCCTTTGTGACATCTTCATTCTAGAATATATTCATTAGAGTGGGGATGTCATATTCTTTAAATTTCTATAGTTACCACATCTTCTAACAAGGTAGATAATTAATACTTCTGCTCTCTGACTTGAGAAAAAATCCTCGTCATATAAGGCGGACTATTTAGTGCATAGAAGGAGAAACAGAGAACCAATATGTCTTGAAATAAAGCTGATCTGTAGTTATATAAAGTGAAATTTTCTTCTACTATCTTACCATTTATTATTTAGTCATAATAAATTGGATTTTTATCTTCACAGCTAACTAGATCATCATTTTTTCCTATATTTTAGTATCTTGTTAAAAACAAATCTATAAAACAACCATATACATCCACTTAGCAGTCAACATTTTTTGGCCAAAAAGTAGAGAAATAAATTGATTTATTTACTTTCTAAAATTTTTCATTCCATTTCTGATTCCATGAGAATATTTACATAAGGACACATACTAAAACAGATTAAAAGAAAATAATATACCAGTATCTGAGCAAACAAAATTGCAGTCATCAAGGCAATAAAGAAAGAACACAAATATAAAGGCCTTAAGTTCTTAAGAAGAGAACAAACACATCACTTACCTTGGGATGATTTAAGTGAAGAGGAGGAGTGTAAGAGTTCAATTCATGAAATTGGTATTGAAAGAAATGTTTTTGGAGGGATGTCACATAAAGAACAGTAAAGGATGTGTTGGTTAAGTCTTTAATAACAACCCCATAGCAGATACAGTGCATTGTGGAAGCTGAGGATTGCTCTATGTAGAATACTTGTATATAAGCTGTAAGTGTAATGGCAAAGCATAGTAAAGACAATTCTTTTGAGGGGAGGTCTAAACAATGCCACCCACATATTTACCTTTGTAATAATTTGAATTGCTGTGAAAAAAAAATCATAGACAATCCAGACATACTAGTGAATCATGTGTGCTTTAGAAAAGTGTTTATATATTTCTTATCTTTCAACAGTTTTTTTTTAATAAGTATGGGCAGCAAACGTTGGCATGGATCTGAAATACAGGTATTCTGGGTTTTTTCTATTTTGCTATTTTTTGCTATTCTTCATCACTTCTTTGGCAATGGAGAATAAAATATATATTATTAACCTCTTTGCTTCTATAGAACTTCATAGAGCTTGCTATGTTGTTTTGCAAAATATCTCATCAAGGGCAGAGACCAAATCTCATACACCCTTGTATCCCAGCATATGGCAAAGGAAGTGGAATATAATTGATTTTTAATCCATTACTCTTTCCTGAATGAGCCACTTTGCAGACTTTCCAGAACATCATTGCTGTTCATATAGCTTGAAAAAGGTCAAGGTCATGCACCAACTAACACCAAGGAACCTAATTTAGAGTCAAAACTTTCCTTTGGCATCAATTCAAAAGCATTAACTGAAAGCACTGTACAACATACAGGTGTGGATTTTTTTTTAATCCAGAAAATCATCCAGAAGAAACTTCAAAATCTAAGTGTAAGTATACTATGTCAATGACACGACAGGTCAAATTTCACTCGAATAGTCTGTGAAACAATGACCCTATTCTACTCTCTAAACTGAGTGAGAATTAGATCTGTAATGCCCAGATTTTTAAATCAGTATCATGAGCATTTATTATGGAACCATATTTAAAGTCATAAAATGACAAGTCAAAGTCTCCAATCATGATAACAAATTCTTGGAGTGGGGCTTATGCATCAGTAGTAGAATCATGTAACTTGGTTGTTTTCTTAAGCTTGGCTTGAAAAGAGAATGGGTGATTGCAGATCATAGAGTATGGAAATATAGAGTGGAGTTAAGTGTAGAAAGTGTCTAGACAATGTCAAATTCAATCAAATTCACAAACAGTTAATATTGTGCAAATAAAATGGTTAACCTTTGAACTTATTTGAATAGAATATTCTTAGAACAGTTTGGAAACAGAATAACAGATGGAATAAAATGACCCCCTTTTCCATACTCTATGAGTGACTGCATTGCCAGAATTTCTAGAACTTTGTTACTTGAAGTGTAGTCCTGAAGCTAGCAACCTCTGGCATCATCTGGGAGGTTGTTAGAAATTCAGAATCTGAGACCCAATCTCATACTTACTGAATGAGAACCTTCATTCTAACAAGATCCCCAGGGGATTCACATGCACATTAAATTTCAAGAAGCACTGTTCTAGCATATAATGTCAAAAAAGGATGTGGCCCTTAGCAAGCTTTAAAAAAAAGTCAATAAAACCACACCTATGAACATGTCACTGGAAGGAGATACTTCTCCCACTCTCTTCCTTAGTGGGCCAATACTGTAGGGTGTTTAATAGTTTTAAATGAAAAAGAGTAACTTTTTTTTAAGTATAGTCTGGTACGAACTCAGTTACACATTGCTCATTTTTTAAGACTATGAAATTTCCTAATTTAGTAAATACTCTAAACTAACATAAAGTTTGCCTCCACTTTATTATTGAACTATAACACACTTTACTTATATTTTCAGCATTTTTTATGTGAATGATGACCCAGTTCTGCAACTACACTTTCCCCAACCGCTGAACATTTAATAATTCATAAGGTCAATAACTAAGTTTTTAAGGAATCTACAAGTGCTTGCAAGTCGTAGGTTCTTGATTACAGTATACAAAGATGAATAGAATTGGAACATTATAACTCAGTTTGGAGAATGGGAAGAGCCCTAAGTAAAGATGAAGGAAGAAGCTTTTTTGTTTGTTTTTGTTTTTGTTTTTGTTTTTGTTTTTGTTTTGCTTTGCTTTCAGTATGGTTTAGATTTGGATTCTATATATTCAACACAGTTTAGATAACGTGCCGCGCAACTACATAGGGGCTTTATCTGAACGTTCCTGGCTTGGTGTCTTCTAGCTCTTCTATGGGAGCTAAGTCGTACAACGCAATGTTTCAGCACTACGGACAGCGCCTATGCACCTACTCCTAAAAAGGGGAGGGGATCCTCTTGGGTTTGTGTAGGAAAGGCGAAGGGGAGGGGAAAAAATAACTCCCAATAGCGCATGCAGCCCCCAGTTAAACCAATACACCGTTCTCTCGAGTCTTTCCCTTGTAGGTTGAGAAGAAAGACGAAAGAATTTAGTGCCTACTCTTCGACTGAGACTGCAGTCACCCAGCACAGCAAAATGCCTGCGGCACAGCTACTGATGCAGAGAGGAAAGGAAAACAAGGATTTTTAACAATAAATACATTAACCCCCCCACTGCCTTAGAAAGCCATATTGGTGATGAACTCCGATTGCTAACCTGCGGAACGTGATATGAGTGAAAACGAGCCCTTTTTTATTTTTATTTTATTTTTCTTTTTGGCAGAGCTGAGGACTAGATAGAGCCTGTTGCTGCTGTGGCCGATTCCCTCCCCCCCTCTCACTCTCCATCTCTTATCTGTCTCACGTAAACGCGCGGTCAGACGCCCTCACAGACGCACACGCGCGCGCGCAAATATTTATACACTGCCACATCGAAGAAATTCATGCATATTTTCCTGCAAATATACTTGAGGGCGCACACGTATTTCGCGGGCGCCCACGTCTTCTGTCACCTACAGATACAGACTTACACACGTAGGCCAGGAAAGCGCTAACCGCTGTCCTGTGACTGCACGCAGGTTCCCAGGGCACGTCTTTTACATTGTTACTGAAACGATCAGCGAACACAGACAAACCTGCCAACACTTAAATCTACTCGCTGGATTTCATCTCCATGGCAACAAGCATGGAAGGTGAGACATCTCTGCTTGCAAAGTAACTTTCTCCCCCTACCCGCCGCATTACTGACAGGATTTCAGTGCAGGTCCAGATAAGAAGCAAGTCTCCTTTTCCTGTATTTCTGAAGCTAGGGAGCAGGGAAGGAGGTGAGGAGGGGGGAGAGGGGAAGGAGCCCGCAGGTCTGGTGGGTTCAAATTCTAAAGGAAAAGGAGCCTTAATGTTTCTGCTCCTGCTGCTGACAAAAAGAACAAAGGAAAGAAGAAAGAAAAAAGAGGATGTGTTGTGTGTGTGTGTGTGTGCAGTCAGCTTGCTGAGGCTTCTTCAATAATGTTTTGTAGATTTCTATACTTATTCAATTTAATATGTTCAAAGAGAACTGAAGATAAATAAGGCAGAATGATAATCACAGTCTAGGTTTCTCTAGTGAGACATTTTGAGAATTTTCAAATCAGGTTTCCAGTGCTTTTGAGGAAAAGAAGGAAAAAAATGAACGTCAGAGTCTTTGAGGAGTTATCCAGAGATTCTCTTAAGAAGGAAATTCTCTTAAAGTTGAAATCTGAAAGGTTGGGATTGGGGTAGGGGGTAGATTCTGGCATATCTCAAGGTTTTAGAGCCCTAGGAAGGCCTGGAAATATATGCACTTCATCATGATGAAGACATCTGGGTTTGTAATTTAAGGTTTTCCTTTGATTTCAACATATTCCTTTCCAAAT